AAAAAAAAAAAAAAATTTACGTTAAGATTAGCCTTACTTACATTAACACAACTGAAACGAATTCTAAAAATAAGTACTTGTAGGATAAGTAATCTGCCCTGTGTTGCCAGTTCTATTACGTACGTTTTTTTATTTGCTGTTATTTATGAAAAGTGCTTCTTACCCTGGAGTTGTTAAACCTCTCGATTTTTAGTTTGTTTTCAAATGTTTAAATTAACTAAAGAAAGTGGGCAATAGAGCAATGTTGAAAGCTTCATTCGTTTTATTTTCATTTTTGATTTTAATAAATTATTGTACAATAAATAATAAAATAAATATTACATTACAAAAACAACAATATATTTATACAATTTTTCTTTCTTACATAAAGCGATAGCCGGGATAGGCAGTTAAAGAACGGCGTTCTAATATCATATGTAAAAATATAATTGTAGTAGATAAAACAGTTACATGTATAAAAGCGCCGTTCCATATAATTATTATCCCTTTATTCCAGGAAGTAATATATTTTGTTGGTAAAATAAATATTTAATAGATACCTTTTATTAATAGCGTGAATAAAAATCTACTTTATTGATTTGTTTGGGTTCGTACGCAACATAACCGACTGAGTTTGGTCAGCTAAAGTTATTGGCTTTGGATTTTTACATTTTATTGCAGTTTTTCTGCAGCTGCTTTTCAATTAATATATTTTTTTTAAGTTTTTATATATCTTTTTTATTTGTTTGCTTGCGCCTTTCCTCCCTCATTAAATATTTTTATTCGTCTGTCATGTTTACGCTTATACATATGTTCGTAACTAATCGTTTGTACCACATAAGTTAAGTATTGACTATCTTGCGTGTGCTTAGTGCACTTCCTCTTTTGGCATTTGTCCGTTGTATGCCATATCCTGTGCTTCCTGTGCGATTATTTGCGCCGGCACTTCGGCCATACCCTCTATGAAGCCGTTCAAAGCTCTCGCCCAACCCGAACTGTAGCTATCGTGATGTGGTATTTCAACGATATGCTTCTTCTGGGACAGTAATTTCTTTAATGCGATTATCACTGACAGCAGCAGTGCAATCTTGGAGACAATTAACGCTTTTCCCGCTAGCAGGAATAAGCCTTTGAGCATTATAGCACCCACCATGCCCGCCTTGGCCATCATTACCATCAACATTGGGCCCATGTTTTTCATCTTGCCACGTCCCTCCTCGAACGTCTCAACCGGACTCACCGATACGCCAAAGTTTAAATTGCCTTTGGGTTCGGTAGTGAGCACGAAGTCTGCATTGTCGGAAAATTTATAGCGCAGCGTACGTGATCGTATGAATTTCCAAATTTTTCCAGCCACCAGCAGGCCTAGCGTCTCATCATCTGATTCAATGGAACGTGCTAGCATTAAATCATCATCGGGGTCATCCGGTATGGAGTCAATATTTCTATAATTGAGAAAATTGATACGAATTTAAAAGAGTGCTGTTGGTATTCTTGTGTTTGCGTCAATGTTTAACAAGCCAATCAAACTATTTAGTACTTACCTATTTTGCGAAACCCTTAGATTCTCATTAATATCGATTGAAGACTTTTTAAATATTCGATTCATGTACACAATCAATTTGAGCATCATACACGAATGATTATCCCTCTGACTGCATTTTATGTTGAGTTTACGCAGGAATCCCTCCTCCAGTTGGTTACGATTCACGATTGGAATCTGTAGGTGAATTAAAAAAAAGTGATATATAAATAAGTATTCACTCGAGGTAAGATTGAAAAGTGCTATCTCATAATACCTACACAGAAAAGGTATTAATACCTTTAAACCTAAATACTTACCTATACCTAAATATAATATTTTACATCTAATTTTATTCAAAATTCACAAGTGTTCAGAACTCAAGAGTTCTGATTAGAACTCATAATTTAGAACAAAACGGAATCAGAAAACACTGAAAGTAGGAAATAGTGTTAACCACTTGAAAGAGTTTTCAAAAACTTGGTTACTTAAAAATTTACTCCCTCCATATAAAAATAGCGTGTTTACACATGAAGTGTTTAGGAAGAAATAAAACGCTTATAAATTAATAAGATTGATTCCCTTTGCCCATGGAGCGCACCAAATGTAATAGCTTGTGAAGTATCATCAATGCAAATGAAACAATTTTGCATATTAACGTATGCATTCAACCAAAAATGATCTTCATCGCTGAAAAAAAATGTCGTTTGCAAATCGGGATCGGTGGGCCTATTTACCAAACTTGCGACGCACTTGATGGTCGTTCGGCTTTTTCGCACGAGTTGGATTTTGTAAGCTCGCAAATCAGATCGTTGGATTTGCCATACGACTAAACGTGGTCTGAAACCGATCCATAGCAGCTTGAATTACCAACTCGGCTAAACTATTATTATATCTATCGATTAGGTATCTGTTCGCAAGAAAAGCGGTGTGAACCGGGGCATTTTCGTGGTACAACATTCAATCGGCTGCGATATCTTGTCGGACCCGATTGACCCTCTCTGTTGACTCTCTTGAGGACAAACTTGGCGTTGACGGTTTGTCCAGGAATTCATGATGGACGATGCCTATGTCAACTATAGGTACCAGAGTCTAAATATTCGATACCTAAAGGCCTGTACTAAAAACACTATTCGGGCTAAGTTTCATCCCGTTATATTAATTGCTTCTTGATTTTTGTACTGGAAACTGAACGAATTAAGTGGAACTTAAATTTTTATACGGGAAGTATATTCTGTGACATAGAAATATGAAAAGAATACCCCGTACTAAATTTTGTTGTTGGTCGGGTCCTAAGATATGGGATTTCACCAAAAAGTGGGTGCGTAAAGCTCTCTCATACCATCCCGGCAGGAAAATTTTACGTTTGTGGGGCAATTAGTTATTGATTTATCGCGCTTTTAGTAGTTTCGAGCGAGTGAGTCCAATTTTATCTGACGAAGTTATAGGGACAATCTTCACTGAGCTCACATAGCGGAAGCACAGCACGCTTATACGCAGGGTAGATCAACGGATTTTTCCTTTCCCTCGCTAACTCTAAAGACAGAAAATGCTCTAGAGCATAAGGATTATGCTGTGGGCATATTTCTTGAAAACAGTGGAGCAGTCAACAATGTAAACTCTTCTGAGCTGCAGAAAGATCAACGCGGAATGGAGCAAAGCCACATTGCTCATATTAGCGCAATTGGAACTCCTCAGGGGTTGCACTGTCACCACCCTTGTGGTCACTTGTTGCTTCTGAAGAAAACTGTAAGGAAAGCAATCAAATTGAGTGGGAGCTGGAATTTATTGCTCAGAGCTGGATTTCAGCCAACTCTTCAAACTTCCAGCCCATTGGAATATCTTTACTGTGTTCCGGGCTACAAAATATTTTTGGGTAACCAAATAACTGATGAGATGCCCATAATACCATCTCTCTAGCTACCAAACAAATTCAGGATTTACGGAAGTAGCTAATATTGCTTGTTTTTGAATGAGTTCAAATTAAAATGAACCTCCACCTGGCAATACTAAACACCAGTAAAAGATCTATGTATGGCGTGACAGCCGGCCAGTATAAACTAACCCATTGATCTATCTCACGACTTAAAAATCAATTTTTTTTTAGAATTTTTCAGAATTTTTCAATAGGTACTATTATTAAGAAACGAGGCTTTATGATCCCAGTTGACTGTATTTATCTTTTTCAAATTTGGATGTATTTTTATTTAAAACATTAATAATTTTAATTTTTAATTAATTATAAAACAAGCATTGTATATAGCCCGTATGAATAACAGGACTTTTATTTTTTTGTCTGCTTTATAAATACCGGACTTTCCACTTTGCCTGTATTTTTGAAAATATGGGATTTTAAATTTTTAAATCCGGTTCGAAGGACCAATGTCAAAATTCAGTTAAGTTTCTTTACGGCGAGGGAAGAAATAAAGAACTTCATTAAGTGAGAATTCCAATTTTTATTTGGATTTTCTTGTCCTTAAATACAATTTTTAATTCTATCTAAGTAAGTAAATGTATTTGTATATGTGTATGTTTGTATTGTCATACGATGATTACATGTTTCAAATAACATACGAACGTTGGTTTATGTTTTGTTCAAAGGTATTTGAAATTCATATCCATTTTTCTAAACAAAAAAGGAATTTTAGACGTGAGGTAGTGTATTCCGAACACCAGTATAACCTTAAACATTTAATTTTTAGCTGATGACTAATTATAATAGTATTGAAACATAAGAAAACTATCCCAAAACTTTAACTTACTCTCATCGGTCTGGGGTTACACTACCCAATTTCATCAATTTGTTTTATGCCATCGATTTTATCTCATTCTGTGAAGTCTAAACTGTTTCGGGAACATTAAAACTGCTACAACGTTAAAATAATTACCAATACAAATTTTAACGTCAAAATTTAGTATAGAAAACCGAATTTTAAATTCCTGCGGTGCTAATTGTTTGTCACGAGCAAGTGTTTTTGGTTGGTACAAATTATTCAAAGAGGATCAAGAACGCGTTGGCGATGAACCACGTCTAGAACTACTTTCAACATCACCTGATAACCAACATGTCAATAAAATAAAGGAATTGCTGCTTGAAAATCGACGGTTAACAGCCAGAAATCTTAATGGCATCAGTATCAGTGAAGATCGTTTTGAAAAATTATTTGGACCTAAAGAAAGTGAAAGCACGATTGGCTATAAAATAACTACATTTTTTCGAAAAACAGCATCGCATTAACGTTTGTGAAATAATGCCTTCCTACTACCAGGATGTCATGAAATATATTATTACTCGCCATGAGTCTTGCATCTATGTTTACGACCCGGTGTATATACTAAATATAGTTTCAAAAAGATGCTGAAGCCGAAAAAACCTCGCCAAAGCAAGTCAAAAATCAAGTTTTCTTCGTTTATCGAGGTGTGGTGCACTTCGAATTCCTTCCGACCGAAACTGTCAACCAGGAATACTATTTGAGTGTTATATGTATTTTGCGCAAATCTATTCGTAAAAAGAGGTTGAAATTATGAGTCTACGATTCTTGGTTTTTGCACCACGATAACGCGCCTTCGCCTACTGCATTTATTCTTCTTATTACGTTTTTCGCTAGATTTTCAACCAATATCGTGACGTAATCACTGTGATCGCCGGACTTAGCTCGTTTTGAGTTCTGGCTAATCAGCAACCTTAAACGATCGCTGCGGGGAAACCGTTTGAAGTCAGTTGAAGACATTAAACGAGAATCGTTACGCACATTGAAGACTACTCCGGAAATTGACTTAAACAACTTTTTCGAGGATTGGAAGAAAAAGGTGGCATAAGTGTATTGTGGCCAAAGGGGATTATAGGGATCGACATCGATTTTAAAAATTATAAACAAATTATTGCCATTGTTTGCTCATTGTAGTATAACTAAGCGAAGTATGTATTGACATAGTGGAGAAAAGTGAAGAAATTTGCCCCCATATAACGAGTAAACCATCATTTTATTAAATATTGCATCGTATTCAATTCATTCAATTACTTCTTTCCAAAAATATTCTCAGGTCCAATGCACTACTGAAAATAACTGCCAAAATCACTCATCGATCACTATTAAGTGCGTATATGAAACTTTTTTTATTTCACAAGATATTCTCACGACTTACAGATCAAAATCTAGATAAGGATCTTCATAAAAGGTATTTTTCCTTAAAAATTGAACCGAATAATTACCGCATTTTCACTGGAACTGATGGCGGGAGTAGCTTGCACAGAAGCGAAGGCTAGAAGTGTTATTATACCGAACGATATTAGCGCTTTCATTTTGAACTCGTGTCAAAGAGTTTTTACCGCTTCTGTTATAGGATCTATTGAAGCGGGTAACCTGCAGCACAATACACTTTGGTTTTGAATATTCTGTAGTATAAAAATCTATGCAGCTCACTATTCCCGACTCAACGCATACACACACTCAATTTAACGGCACTACTGCACTTTAACCGCTGCATATGTGTTTAGACAGGATATCAAGCGCATGCAATGCAGGATAACTCAGAAAAGTACTTTAAAGTTACAAAATTTGGCAAAGTACATAGGTGAACGACGAACAGTTAATTAGCGCAAGCGAAACGAATGATGTCCTTTTTACATGAGCACTTTTATTCCTTTTAATTGTAGAGTATAAAATTGCGCACTGCACTTTAAAGTATTTTGCTATTTTATTTTGAAATCACATTGACACTGCACGAGCGCTAGAATGCGATGACATCGTCATGATATCAAAAGACCTAATGCGAATTTCGTGCTCGTGATTAAGGTTTTATATGCACGTACAAGCGGCAAGCGACTATCCGTGTGGTGTCTTCGAGGCAGCTTGGATTGCTGCACTTCGCAGTTAACATAGCTGTTGTTGCTGCTGCTAAGCTGAGCGGGATCAGGCTGCTGGTTGCAGTTGTTAGAAAACCCGATCGGTGGCTTAGTTGTAGAATCCCAGTTAGTTAAGTGAATGAGTGATATGCCAAAAGAAGCAAGCAGACAGTATGTTGCAAGCAAAATAACAACGGGCTCAAATTTTAAAAAGAGAACAACAACAAATGCACCAACTTGTTTTTCAAGTGCAAGGAATGAGATGTAACAGCCACTACCGTTCGCACTGGTGCCTTTACCAAAGTCAATGTTGCTGTTGTTTGCGTGTGTCGCACTTTGCAACTTGCAGCAAATAAATGAGGACCGAGGCAGCGAATTGCTGGAGTAGGCTTTAGTTTTATAAACTTCTTTGTTGTTGTTAATCTATTAAAACTTTAATACAAATATACTTGCGGTTAAGCGCTTCTACTTGCCGACGTCTTTGACCAAGTTAGGCAGCGAACGACTTCTTCCTAGCACTTGGCACAAGCCTAACATGCACCACACTTTCCACCTAACCCATGCACTTATACATATATCCGTAGAGTTAGCTTCAAAGCATGCAGCACTTCTAACATTCAGTAAACCCAATTCCCAACACTGATTTCCACAGTGAAAATTTAAAATTTCCTTAATGTCGTTGCCGGCGGTTCAGCATCATTACCCACATACTCGCACAATTATGGGTATAAATATGCATGTGGTTAAACCACACCATTATATTTACGATTTTCACTTTATTACTGCAGGTCGACGGCGGTGCGCGTCTGTAAATAAATATTTGCACTTCTGCCTTGTTTGTTTACAGTTGAAATTGCCACCACAGAAAGTGCAACACTTTCCAGTGTGGGAAAATCTATTGAGACTTTTACGCTGCATCTTTGTGCATACTACGCGGTTCACAATTAATTGCTTGCGCATTGCAATTTATGATTCACACATACTTCAAGTGCTTGTCTGCAGTCAAATCAACCAGTTATAGACCTTTTCACATACATACTATTTAAGTCCAACTAGTCAGGACTGGTACGGTTGATGTCCTATCAGATACCAATTGGCGGGAGTATTTTATTGATAATATACTAACTTCTCAACACAAATATGCCTGATCAGTTTTTCAACGAACTCTGCAATAAATTGATATAAGTTTGGTTCTTTTGTGACCAGATCTAGGAATTATAATTATAATTGAACACATTTTGCAAGTAAGTAGGTGAAATACAATACAAGGTGTGTTCCAAAGTAAACAGGACATAAAAAACAGAACAAATATTTTTTTCGGCAAAATCAATTTCTTTAATTCAAAATAGTCTCCTTCTGCTTCAATACATCTTTTTTCACGGTACAAAGGCATGTCGAACGAGTCATTTAGCACGTTGGCTGGTATAGTCGCCAGTATGTCGACAAGTAAGCCTTTTGAATGGCCTCTACGTCTGCATAACGCTTTCCTTTCATGGGCAAATGCATGAATATGTGGGGTGGTTAATGGTTAAAATGTGATTTTTGGTCAAATAATCGTCCCTCGAATGTTGGATTCTGAACAATTTTTGGCCGTCAGTCAATTAGTGCGGAACAACTCGTGCACACACCTTTCGTAAGCCCAAATGTTCGGTCAAAATGCGATAAATCGATGTTCTGGAGATGTTCAATTCCATTTCCGTGAATTTCAATGCTGATTTCGGCAGATTTCTGATGAATTCACGCACAGTTTCGATGAAATTTCCGGTGACCACGGAGTTTGATTGGCCCACATATGGATTGCCATTTATGTCCTCACGACTTTGAAAACTTTGAAACCACTCGTACACTCTGCTACGGGATAAGCAATCATCGTCATAAACTTGTTTCATCAATTGAAACGTTTTGGTAAAAGTTTTACCAATTTTAAAAGAAAATGTATGTTGGATCTTTGTTCGAGGCTAATTTTCGCTTCGATAACACAAAAATACTGACACTTCAAATGCAAAAACTTCACTTCCAATCAATGAAATGTCATGAAATTCTCACTGGACAATCGATAAAGATTGCAGATTCTAACGCATCAGTCGACATATTGATGTTCAAAAAATTGTTTTTACTTTGGAATGCACCTTGTATTTTTATGATATTGACTAAGTAATTATACAGTGGTGGATTCAGAGGAGGAAAGAGGAGAAATACGCTGCTTGCAACTCTCCCAAATCGAAGATAAAAAGCTGAGGAACATTTTCGATCGAACTGAAAATTGACGAAGAGAAATCACGAATCTACGGCCGACAAACAAAACGCGAAAATTTCTGCATTAGAACTCGCGGAGAATACTACAGATACATATGTGCTTTAAAACCCAAAAAAATGGAAAATCTGATCTGAACAGTCTGACTGCTTAATAGATAGATTCAAAGGCCTTTTGGATAATGACAACGTCGTGCGACGTTTGAAACTGTCTAAAGATATCATGTTTCAAGTAAGTGATTATCATAAAAACTTGATATTGTAAGTATCAAAACTATAGCTTAAAATATTGGCCCCCATAAGAAAATTAAACCTTTATATTAAATTGTGTACAATTAAAGTGATTTTCATATTTTTAATTTGTTATACAGTTATTGTTTACCTTCAAAGCATGCAGTACGTATTTTATTTATGTATTGATTTGAGTTAGATCCCAGTCTTACCATCAAATGAAACACTTTTTCAAATAGTTCATATTTCTTATAGCGCAATTTTGTAGGCAATCTCTACTACTATTTGAAACATTTTGAGGTAACGTCTCAATTTGTGACTAGCTACTATTCACAACATAATCTCTACACTTTAGTGACAAAATATTGTCTCATATTTGTGACCTGATAATTAGCAGGTACTGAATATAGATCATCATAGATAATAATCTATTGTCGTTTTTTTGTATTTTGTAATCAACTCAAACACGAAAACTTTGCTAATCATCCACGTAACAGGGCTCATGCTGGCTGTGCAATCTCAATTAAGTCTTTTATCAAATATGACACACTGGACCCAATTCCAACGCCATCTATACAAGCTGCCGGAATAAAAATGAAGTCTAACAATAATGATTTACATAATTAAGCTTTGTACTCACCACCAAGGCATAGTATAGCAACCACGGAATATCACAGTTTCTTCCGCTCTCTCGGTGAAATATTTTTTGTAGGAGGTGATTACAACGCTAAGCATCCCTGGTGGGGCTCACGTACTATAAGTCCGAAAGGGTAGAGAGCATTATAAATGCTTTATAAAGAATAATTTACGAACTCTGTCAAGCGGTGAGCCTACCTACTGGCCGAGTGATCCATTAAAAATTCCTGACCTTCTAGAGTTTGCTGTATACAAAGGTATTCCAACTCAACTGTTAGATGCTGTTAGCTCTGATGAACTATGTTCTATTATTGCTATGGATATAGCAAAATATAATACTTAACACTTCTATTAAATCTCAATCTGAACTGGATGATGCAGTCGAAGGTTTTACATACCTTATTCTGGAAGCAGCTTTTGCTGCCACTCCCCAAAAAAGGAATGAATTTTCATCTCATAAACTATAGCTATATAAAATGTATCTGCAGAGATTAGAACATTAATTCAGAGTAAAAGACGTTTACGAAAAAAGTGGCAAATCAGTAGAAATCCAACAGACAAAACTACTCTAAATAAAGCCACAAAAGAGCTAAAAGAAAATTTACAAGACTTCAAAAATAATTCGATTTCTGATTATATTGAGAGTTTAAATTATAGAAATAATGAAGATCATAAGATTTGGAATGCTACAAAATATCTAAAAAGACCTAAGAACAGCAATGTACCTATCAAAGACGTTAATAACGTTTGGTATTTGAAAAAATATTTTTGCGTAGAATATTGCCACTACTAAAGGAAAACAAGGTAATACCTGAACATCAATTTGGGTTTCGCCGTTATCACGGTAACGGTACGGTAGCTAGATACATTACTGACTTTAGAACGTAAAGACAATTTTCGGCAGCATTTTTGGACATTCAGCAAGCATTCGATAAAGTTTGGCATCATGGGCTCTGACATAAGATTCATAAATGCTGGAGTACCACAGCGTAGTGTGCTTGGTCTTGTACTTTTTTAACCTCTGACATACCTGAAACTGAAAATGTAGTAATTACTACATAAGCTGACGACACTGCTCTTTTGTCGTCAAGCCAGTCTCCTGTTTAAGCAACTAATTTGGTGCAATTGAATAAGATACAAACTTGGTTAGATTGCTGGAGAATGAAGTAAACGCGAATAAAACAATGCACGTTTTATTTACATTAAGGCGAAGCGATAGCCCTTCCTTGCTTTTAAATGGCAATGCTATACCCAAAAGTCATAGCGCTAAATACCTCACCATGCACTTGGACAAACGGTTAACATGGAAACAGCACATACAAGCTGAAAATAAGCAATTAAAAGTAAAAACCAAACAACTGTATTGGCTACTCGGATATAAATCGCCGTTACATCTTGAAAATAAATTGCTATTATATAAAGGCATACTAAAATCAATCTGCATCTACGGTGTGCAGCTTTGGAGCATTGCTGGTAATTTAAATGATTTCAATCAAAAACCCTAACTATTACAAACGCCCCTTGGTTTATAACAAATAAAGCCATTCATACAGATCTTAATATGCCTTTTGTTAAAGCAGAGATTAAATAATTTAGTACAACGTATTCACACAGAATCAGTTATCATGACAATCCTTTGGCAATCATGTTATTAGATGGCAGCAATGAAATTACTAGACTCAAAAGACAACATATTCTATATCTCTCAGTCAGGAATTAAGTACTAAATATTTAACCAAGTTATTTAACATATTAGTTTAAGTTCTTTAATATAAGCACTAGAAATAAGAACATTTAAAATGAAATGCGATGAACGG